TAAGAGGATGCAAGATTGACATCCCAGGGTTGAGTGCTGCTGGGAACAGAAAGATGCTTGTTTGCTATGAATATGGGAAGGCATTTTTCAGATGTGTTATATTTCAGTGAGTTAAAAGGTCAAATCCAGTCCTGCTACAATCCTATTGGTAGATATTTTGGGAAAACTTTTTTGCAGAAAATGAGAACTGCAAACCATGCTGTTGAAAAGTGGATTCTCCAGGATTAATGTCACTAACAATGTCACTGGTTTCATGATCATCATAAGCCAAGTTAGGTTTGTGCTGCCTTCAGAAAGGACAGTTTCCCTATCACTTCACTGTTCTTCATCCTAATGAGTATCAACCCATCTACCCCACTGACAGCTAATCCTTCTTCCCCTTTCCCACAAATGAATTAATCCTTTCTTATAGTCATCAGCCAGATCAGCAGGCCGATTCAGTTCACTGCTCAGCCCTGCAGGGCAGAGAGAGGGGAGTGGGAGAATCCCCTTGTCCTCTGGCTGAAGCCAGCTGTGAAGAGCACGCTGAGAATTGATGGAGGTGCTGCTGAGACGCAGGGGTGGCACAGGGCTGCAGTAAGTGGCTGCTCTTGGAGCAGATGGGCCAAGGCACGTGGCAGCTATGGCACATGAATCCAGGTGGCTTTGCCAGTGAGAGACAGCAAGTAACAAACAAGCAAAATCACAGTTCACATTAAGAGTAAGGCGTAAGATGCAAGGATTATATTGGATTTAGTAGGCTGGGTGGGATAATAGCTGAAAAACTAGAAAGCATTTACAAGCAGAATGAAAGACGTGGAGAATTTTCTTACCGAGATTTTGTCATATGTGTCAAACATCTGGTGTTCAGAAACACCCAAACTCAAAACTAAATGAAGGTAATATGAGGAAGCACTTTGGGTTTGACCTTTTGGATTAATTCCTGACCCAGACCCATCTATTCCAATACAATGCCACTAAACTATCCAGTGAGCTCTCAGGCTATAAATGAATCAAAATGAATCTGAGGCCCTATTATGTGGAAATGTCATTTCTGATAGGATATCCTATTTTTCTTTTGAAATTGGCCCCTATTGCTTTAACATTACAAAGGCAGCCTATTAAGTGGGAGCTATGGGAAAATCCTTCCTGGTAGGATTACTAATTATCTGAACTTAAAATGTAACCCTGTTCGAACTTTATTGCTTTTATACACTTCAGGCTTCTTTTGAAGGTGGTTGTCTTATGAGGGAATGTACTAAATATTCTGCATTGGCAATTGACATTTCTTAAAAAAGAAAGTACTAGTGAAGGTTTTCCTCTACAATTATATAATTTTTTTAAACAAACATGACTTTCTTGGCACTGTCTCTTTGTGGCAATGAATGAGCTGCACTGTGCTACGCTTTGGGTTTATTTGACACTCCTCTCAGCTACTTGTCTTCAACCAGCCAAATGAAGATGGGAACTCCACCACCATGTTAAATATCTAGCACAGTAATTAAACATGCCCCCCCACCTGTCAGTTTCAGTAGTATCTGATTATAGAAACATTAGTAAAATCCATGTTGTTTATAATAATGATAAATATATATGCAGTTCTGGAGCCCTTTGTCCCAGTCCATCTGGGAATACTTCTTTCTCTGTGTAACACAAAGAGTTAGTCCATTATTATGGCTCCAGATTCAGCTCATATTTCATAGGGAAGTAAATCCAGAATCACTTTATTGACACTGATAAAACAGATGGCTAAACCCTAGCTAAACAGAACTGTAATTATATCTGCGGTGTTAGAGGTGAAGGTATGTTATTAAAACATTTCCCTCTTTGCTTTGAATAATGTGTAGGTCTTGCAAAATGTAAGGATCACAATGACAATATCAAATGCCTCCACTCCATCTTCTTTCTGGGAAAAAGTATATGGTGCAAAAGGGAATATGGGCAGAACTACGGGGAGCTGCTAATTAGCCATTATAGGATTCTATTAATCTCTGCAATCGACTGAAAGAATTATAGTCATTGAAGTCTGTTTACTTTAAGATGGAAAGAAGGCTTAACCAAAGCCTTTGGGCTGACGATAGTGCAAGGAAAAGCAGATTCTGTGTGCATCTGGCTGCATCTGTTGGCTTTCTTGGAGAAGGTCACAGCCATCTTCAGGTACGGTCAGAGCAGATGCCATTCCAGAGTGCTGAGGATGTTGGCACGTATTTACCAGAGGTCTGGCAATTTGCCGGTGGCTAAGCATGCATGGAGCCAGCTAAGGTAATCTGTGTTTCTGGGTGGGAGTTTGGAGTTGGAGGTTGTGAATAGGAAAATGAAGGCCCAGATTACTTTTAACACTCTCCTGTTCCATTGGTTAATGTAAAAGGCTGTATCTCATTTGCAACTGCTTTCTTGTCCTACCACCCTGCCCATCCCCTCAGGGCTGTGCCTGTCCCAGTCCGTAGGACCACGTTATCCCACCAGTTTGAAAACTGGAAACCATAAACGATTTTTTGAGTTCCTAACAGTCATGGTTCTGACTTTAATCTTCCTAATAGGTAATAATTACATTTGCTGCAACATGTTTTTCCGGAGTTTATGGGCAACTTCATTTCCCCCTTACCCAGTGAGTTGATATCTCAACAGTATTTCCTATTTAATTTATTTAACATGTAATTGTTGCCCATGTTATCAAATAGGGTGGAAACTTATTGGGTTTAAGGCTCCTGGACAGAATAGGAATGAAAATGCAGAAGAGGAAAAAGGGAGAAGAAATGCTAAAGGACAGAGAACAACTCAGAAGTGAAGTAGCAGTGGCTGTAAAGGTGGAGACACACTGCCACCATGCAGTGACAATGATAAAAAGAAAACTAACCATACTTTGCCATGGATCTCTGGTGCAGACCCATCCTTGAAATTGGTGGCAATTCAATGGACTGGAGAGCACGTTATCTCTAATGTATTTTTTGGCTCACAGATCACAATTAAAATTAAATTCTGCCTTCTGCAAAACTAAATTGGACACACCGGTCTGCTGCAGTGAATCCTTGATCTCGGTTGGTCTCAGTTGAGCTAGACTATGCAAAGAAAAAAAAATTATAACTGTGGAACTTTTCTTGTGAGACTATATGAAATTGCTATCATAGCACAAGCTATTTTTGAGGAAATCTAGGATGTATAGGTTACTTTTCAGGAGAGGAAATAGTTTTACAGGTTCTTGCTATTGAATTCTGTTCCTATAGATCATTCAATTCAAGTGTCTTGGCTGCAAAAATATTAATACAAATGTTGTTATGAGATGATGGTATTCTCAATATTACATAGAATAAATGTTATCACTTAAATATTTTAAAATGCCAGCATTTCTGCAGGCTGCAGCTTTTTGCTAAGAGGAACATACACTTGTCAAATCTTTTGAATTCTGTATTATTCAGTAAACGAGCATGTGGTTAATTAAAGTAGCATTACTATACTGTGAGGTGACCAGATTGCAAACATATCTTTAACAATTGGCCCTTGTAAATAAAATAGAAGAAAGCTGATTGAGATCTGAAAATGTCAATAGATGCAAAAAGTCACCTTAGAGTGTTACCTGATAAAATAAAGGAGAGAAGTAATGACATGGTCAATATTAACTGCCATCAGCTGGAAAGAAATCAGATTGTCAGGGATCTATAAAATTCTTGCCAAACTAGAACCTCATTTACACATACAGATCTTCATACCCTTTGCTAAGAAAAGCGTATGTGACAGCTTAGAGGTTTTAGCTGCCAAAGATCTTTCACTCTGAATACAGTAAATGTCACATCTATTTATTTATCGTTAAATTTTGCTAAGTATCTGTAGAAATATTTGGATTTTTTCTATCATAATGTAGATGTTTAAAAGGAAAAGAATCCAGATTATAATGCAGCTGTAGCACCAAACCATATGGCTGCTAAATGGGAGCAAAAATACACCACTGAATTACTTGGAGTAAACATAAACTGGATGCAATCTTCAGAAGAATATTAAATGGAATATATAAATACGAGAGTATTGCCATAAAATCATGCAATCAGACAATAGTAGCCATCAGGCAATAGATTATTTCACATGCTGAAAGTAATCACAGTTGTATAGCGATTTGCATTTTCTAAATGCCAGACTGAAAATATTAACTGGTGAATCTTGGCAAGCACAGTGTTTCTGCCAACTGCAGTGGTGGTTGTAACAATATCTAGGTCTTCTTTTTGAGAGAGAGAGAGAAATAGAGAAATAGATAAGTAAGGCAGCTATCCTACACCTCAGCTTTATTAGAATCTGCCCAGGGTCCCAGGTGCTCGAAACAGTCTTGTTTGTCTTTAATTCAGTTAAAGCTTTCCACTTCTTTAAGGAAATGTCTATGGGTGATTTATTGGTATATTGGATGGAATTTGCACTGTGCTGAGCAAGAACAAATGGTCCAGTGGAATACATATTCAGTGTTATGAACAGGGTCTGGCATGAGAGAGAACTCAAATTAGTGTGGCTGTTGTGTTTGCCTGTTCTTGTGCTCAGAAGCAGTTCCATGATAACTGACTGAATTCTGCATCATTGTATGAAAGGGAAAAAGTTAATAACTTTGGTGAGAAAGGCTTGTGCGTCTGCTCAGCCTGGCAAAAAGAGTAATTGTCAACTCTGCTTTCGTGTTTTGGGTCTCTTCTGTTCTTTTTATGCAATATGGAAGAAGAGGAGGCCTCTCCATCCTATCCAGAGCCATCTTCAGACTGTGAACAAGAGCTAAATGATCCTTGAACTTCAATTGGACTTTGTAAATTAACATTCCAGGGAACAGGCTCTCAGTATTCGTAACTGTGGTGCTTAGAATTGGAAACACAATATAAAATGTTTACCTCAAAATTGGCCAAAATCATCAAGATTTCTATTACTGCGTATTGAACTAGCTCTGCCCCTGGGAACTCAGATCCAAGTGCTATCAAGTGAAGACTTCCTCCCCTGAAGTTTTATGTATGAGACAAAGAGCAACTCTGAATCTCTCTCTTTTTTTTTTCCTACAGATGATATGGAAGCAATTCCAGTCAAGCAGTTTGTTAAACACATCAGTGAGCTGTATTCTAATAACCAGCATGGGTTCTCAGAAGACTTTGAGGTACGATTTAATGATCCACCAATAAAATGTTGTTTTCCTAAAGTTAATTGTGTATTAATAATTAGGGACCGTGTGACATCTGTGTGAGGCTGTCATGTCAGGTAAATGCAGTGCTCAAATGTATCAGGAGAAACAGGATAATACCAATTTGCTAACAGCTATGAACAGTATGGGACTGGACATTTACAGATGCTTTCTAACCACCACAGATTTGGTGCCTTTAAGGGGGAACCCTCCCAAGCTTTTATTAAATAGGAAAAGCTGCCTGCAAGCCCCCAGAAACAACATAAAGATACAAACAGTTGTTTTGAACTCCAGGTTTTTCTTACAATGTACGGATTGTTTTATTTTTCTTGGTCCAGAATTTGCTCCTCTCAGTCACACTGAAAACTCCAAAAGTAGTAAAATAGTGCTTACAATGAGTAAAAGTTATAGAATTTAGTCTTGTATGAAAACCCAAGCTGTGGGTCAGTTCCTTGTTCATGCTCTGTTCAGGAAAGATTGCTATTAAAGTCATTGGTTATTTGGTTCCAGTAAAACCAAGGAGAAAGGATTTGGGGTTTAGTTGGCGGTAGTTATTTAATCTGACTATTTTAAAATTTACATCTTTTTACCTGTGTAGGACAGATTCTGACCTATAAATCTGCTGTCATTTGGAGGCAATTCCAATTTTGTGAAAGTAGTTTTCCACCTCTGGGTTACCAAACCCATATTATGCAAGTATGGTAAGCACCAAGCAGCATGAGGACAGGCTGTGGAGTCAGGCTTTTCCTTCACTCAGTCTACTTGCAGTCACTGCTGAACTTTTGGAAGTACCAAGAAGCAGGAGGAGCCCCAGGAAATTACATGGAGCTGCTCTCCTGGCTTCCCCACCAGCAAAAGGAGCTGTGCTTGCGTGCTGCATGTGAATCAGAGAGGCAGCTGTGCTTACAAACAAGGCAGTGAACCAAAATAGGTGGCCTTATATCTACAGCTTCTTTGCTTACTGCAGTGTAAAGACAAGACTGCATGCAGGAATTGTTTTTAATGGGATCATTTAAAACGTTTATTGTTGCTGTTTGGTTACTGTCTATAAAGAGTGGCTGCTTTGTCTGATGCCCAAAAAACGTTGTGTAAGTTAGAAACATTTTGTATTCATGAGGAAGGCAAATGTGTAAGGTGTTAAAGTGATTTAGTTCAATTGACTGCTGGCTGGATGGCTGAGCAGGAATATTGAGGCATTTAACAATGTTGATGGTATTCAGGACAAACATTTATTCTCCAGAGAGTAGAATTTGATCAGGATGATCAAATGCGACTCACTCTTCTCAATTATTTATGAATTGCGACCCCAATGCTATTCATCACAGCTGGGTTTTACACCACTTAATTATTCAAAATAATCAGCAACACATCTGTAAACTTGGTCTGGCTTTAAGCAGGCTTTGCTTCAGCTGTCGCAAAATCACTGCTATTAACAAATGTTGGACACCTTCCGCCCGTGTTTTAGCAAAGAAAAACACTGCTCTAATAGCCTTATTTTTTCCCTTCCTCCTGGAGTTCCCTGCTGCGAGTGCCGTGCTGTGGCAGCCAGTCGAGGAGAGCTTTGGCCAATTACTCCTGTTCTGGGGAGCACAGGGTCCCCTCCGAAGGGAAGTTATACTCCTCCAGCTGCACTTTGTGCGCCAAATTCTATTCTCCGTGCTGGCTTAAAACCTGGAGCATCTGCTTTGAAGTCAGTATAGCTACTCCAGATGTATCTCTCCATAGCTGAGGTCTCAGCTTCCTAGAGTAAATGAAATCTCCTCTTAGAGTAAGGAGGAATAGGAACAAGGCGACCTCTGTCTGGGATAAACCATCCAGCTCCCTTTCACTGGTGATGTTCTGCCGTGCTGATGCCTCATGGGCCTGATTTGAAACCCAGGATCTTTCACAGAGCCATGGGTAAAATGTTTCTCAAGTGCCCAGACTGACTCAAGAGATCAGAATCCCAGTTTTGAGAGTGGCTGAGGGATAGCAGAGTCCAAGATCACGTTTACACAGCGGCTGTTGAAGTGGCTGGGGTTGTAACCTCTCACATACGGTCAGATCCAGCCTTGGTCCGTGTGCTAGAGTTGTATCTGCCAGCTACAGTGAGGACTTAGCTGTTGTTTTGTGGAGAAACAATAAGATTCCAGGTGAAAGAGGAAATCCGGTGTTACGGGGCTGCTGGCCTTGCATGGAAAGCACCACAGCCATATCATGCCTTCATGCCTGGGAAACTTCTGAAAAGAGGTAATGGATTCTGCAGTCATACAGGCTTTTTACAAAATAAATATGCTTTTTACATCTAAAAGGAAGAGAGAAGAGGATGGCAAGGAGATGCTGAAAAAAATGTGATCGATACTGCAGAATAAATAAATCTCCCCAAAGGTAGACAGTGCATGAGATTTTTGTTAAAGGAAAAAAGGATCAAAAATCTCCTCAGAAATTTCCATGGGAGGAGGTTTAAGGTAGAAGCTGCAAAAGGAAAACACTAAGCTAGGCACTCACATACTCTGCCTCCATTTGTTTGTTGTTAGATTTTGGTGTAAGTATCTTCCTGTGTTTTTGGCAGTATGTTGTGGGCTATATTGAGTTGGCTTTTACATGAAGAAGATTCCTTTGAAAGTAAATTGTGTGAATACTCCCTCCTCCTCTTAAATTGAGCTGTAATTACAGCTAAATATTTTGTGAATGTGCTTAGGAAGCGTTTTATATGCAGAGGAAAAAAGGACTTTGAACTCACAAATCTTTCCTTGGAAAGTACATCTAAAATGAATCCTTATTCCCTTTGGGTAATCACAGTGCAAGTAGCCAGCTTTATTGTCTGGTGATAGCTGGGATTTCTTGTATATACAGAATTGTTGAGATTTCCTTTGAGTCCCATGAATTTTCAATTTTTGATATAAATTAGAAATATAGGACCCGATATAATGCTGAACAACAAATAGCTTTTTTAAAATGAAGTCCATGATCCTGCACCACCAGTGCTGGTCTCTGACATAGCTCTTTGTATTCAACCTTGGAATTTGTTCAGTACTAGAGTGAAAAAAGTTCAGGGAAGGTTTTTGGCTTGCTCGCAGGTAGCTCCAGCACTGTCTTGTTATGGCATACAGGTTGAGGTACCACATTTTTACAGGGCAGCACTGGGGCAGGGTTTGAGGGCAAGACTGAACAGAGATTGAGAGGCTTCCCAAGCCAGAGATTGTTATCTCCTCCTTGTCTAGCCAGAGACTTTCTTGGCATCATTACGTTTAGCAGTCTTTGAGAGACCTTTCTTCCTTAAATTTCTAACTGCCTCTTGAACCCTTTTTGGCTTTTGGACTTGTCCAGAGTGTCCCATGGCAATGAATTCTACAATTTGTTCAATAAGAACAGGCTTCTTTTTGCTTTTACCTCACGACCTAATAACTTCTCTTGATGCCTCCTAGTTTTTGCATTACAAAGTACATCCCCATTTACTTAAATGCTTCACATGACTCTGTCTGCCTCCATATTCCCCCTTAATAATCCATTTTCAAATCTGAAGAAGCCTGAACTATTCACTTAGGTTGTTGGAGGAAGCCATTCCAGACTTATGACGATTTGTTCCCTCTGTGCCTTTTTTTCTTCCTTTACCATATCCTTTTCAAGATGGAAAGGCCAAAACTGTGCACGGTATTTAATGTGTCGCTTTACTGCTGAGTTCTGCGTGAGCACAGTGATGTTTTCAGTTTGGTTTTCCATTTCTTTCCTTCCTCCTAACATCCTATCTGGTTTTTAACAACTACTGAGCACTCAGCTGACACCTCCAGCAAACCATCGGCTGTGACCCCAAAGGTCTCATCACTGAATGGCAATAGCAAATTGGGAACCTGTCAGCATGTGTAGTCAGTTAGGGTTGTTTTTCCCAAGTACATCACTTTGCATTTATCAGCACTGGATTGCAGTTGCCATTTTACCACTTGGCCACTCAGTGTTGCAAGATGGTTCTGCTTCCCTTCACAAACAGCTTTTGTTCTAATTACCCTGAGTAATTTTGGATCGTAAACACACTTTGTCTCCTCTGCAGCCCATTTATGGATAGATTAGGTCCCGTAAGGTCCCACCAGTGAAAGCTTAACACTGAAAATTCCTGGACAGGTGAGACCCACCTCTCACCTGTTCATGCACAAGGCGAGTTCTCTTTTTGCGCCAAGACAGATCAGTTTTTTAAGTAGTATTTTCTGAGAGGCCCTTACACACTTTTTGAAAATTGATACGCTGCTCTCTGCTAGACGGTCTATAGACTTTTTCAGGGGCCTCTCCCCAGTGTGTTAGAGGCATTCACTAGCTCTGCTGGCTTCTATTACAGTGTCTAGCAGTTTGTCCCACAGAGAATCAGATGTAGTGGGCTGCAGCGCCTGAAACCCCTTCCAGATTTCATTTTAAAAACTGATCTCACATTTGTCATCCTCAATTCCCCTGATAGCCTGACTATATAGGACATGTGCCCTCCAAATTCCTGTATTAAAAACAGTGTGAAGTGCAACCTCCCACAGTAAAGCTTTTCACTCCCTCCCCCTGGCCAGTTATTGGAATAACACAGTAAGTTTTTTTGAGTAATCATGTCCTCTTGCTCTGAGAAAGGAACACTAAACCAAGAAATCACCTTCCGTCCCCAAAGCTAACTGTGAGTTTTTATAGTTTAATGCAGTATTTGGATTTTTGAGATCAGACAATTTTATTTCCCTCCTCTGTAATTCTGGGGCGGGTCAGTCAGTGCTGCTGCGGGAGCGATTAGAGTGGGTGAATGCAATCTCCACAGACCTCTCCTGCCCGTGGCCGTGTGAGTGTAATGATTCATTGCCAATTTGGAGTCTGAACAGGCTCGCTGAACTTGGAGGCAGGCTGTCTAGCTCCCTCATCACATAAATTGAAAATATCTTTATACTCCAGTGACACCTTCTTCTAAATGTCCTGAAATGTAAGAAAATAATATAAATCTGTATTTTCAGCAGTGTGGCAGGGATTTGCTAACGTTATTCTCATGGTTGCTGCTGGTCAGGGAAAGGGTCACTGGCTCTTTTTAACCAGTGACCTCAGAATGTTATTTCCTAGCAAAGGGCTGCATTGAAGGCAGATAACGCTGCACTTTGCACATTTCTTGAGACACTAAAAACCCCGTGTAGTTATATTGACTTCCTTTACAGATTAGACACAGCTCACACCAGACATATGCTTCCAGCTGCATTTACACCAAGGAATTTGGCAGTAGAAGGATGCCATTTGAAAAGCATGCTGCTAGCAGGCAATACTGCATTGGGAATGGTTTATAACCCTAGCCCAAAATTGCCGTAATTGAAGGTGTTCTCAGCCTGTACGTTGCTGTACTGAAACCAGAGGGAAGCAGCACTGAAGAAGCTGGAGGAGGAAGGATTGCTGCAGAATAGGGCTTTCCTGCAGCTCTCAATTCTTGTCTCAGCGCTTCACCTACCCTCAAAAATGGGCATTGTGAATTAAGAGATAAAGATGAAGAGAAGCAATAAAAGAAGTTCAGATATATGGACTTTCTGTTATTAATCACATGTACCTACAGCCATTCCCAAGGTTTCTGCCTGGAAGTCCTGCTTGGAGGAGCCATTGCATGGGCAGTGCAAGGTTTTGGTCAGACTCTGGCACTTCCCTGCCTAATGAAGGGCAGGATACCACAAGCAAACAGTCCTCCACCGTCCTCTCCTCTTTCATGCATTTACAGGAATTTTAAGATATCTCTTTATGTTATTCCCGTGCTGAGTCCTTTTGGTTTGTTTATTTTCGCCTTCTTTCTAGGCTGTCCCCAGCTCACCTCTCTCTTGAGTGCCGCCAGAGAGTTTATACTGATGCTAAATTATCTCAGAAATCTACACTGTTCCTGTGAGATATCTTCAAATACTGTCTGCAGTCTCTGTTGGTATGCTGTCTTCGTGTTTGCTGTGATAAAACAAACAGCAAGAGCACTACCACAGAATTCCTGTAATTTGGGATTAAAATAATAGATCAAAACTGATTTTAGGGGTGGATGAACTAGCCGCTTTCATGCTGAAAAATATCACGTTAATATCAAAGCAGAGCTGTGGATCTTCTCTAATTTAGTCCCTCAGATGAGGATCCTTTCTTTGTTCGTGATTCCTCCTCATTGCTATTCATAGGCTTTCACAGTTCAGCCCCTGCCAGGACATCAGCCTGAAGTAATGGGAAACAACAGCAGCGCTGCGTTAAGGCCGAATCAAGAGACCGAGTTCCTGCTCAGTCACTGTAGCAAAAATTCTTGCTTGGAACCTTATATTGCCAGCAAGACACTGGAGCAGTTTGATTTTACACTTAAATGGAAATTCTTTGAAGTTTAGAAGAAACTAATCTGTAACTTGTTTCAGAAAGGCAATTATACCGGGTCGTTAAACCTGGGTGTATCAAATTCCAATTAGCATTAGCATGGACAATATAATTAAAAGGTAAATTAGCCATAATAGCATAGACTAGAACACTTTTTACAGTAACTAACGGTCAATTGAAACCATGTACTTTGGTTTCTTGGGTTGTCAATGATAAGTTGAAAGGACAGAATAAGAGCCTGTACTCATTCATCCTGGGACAGTAATGCGTTCTGCAAAGTTAAACATGAGAAGCAGCAGTGTGCAAGCCAGCTGCCGTTAAGATCAGTGTAAGAGACCAAGCAGGATTAAGGAAAGCCAAAGGAAATACTCCAGAGCTGAAAAATTTATGGATGAATTATGGATGTGGTGATATGGACACTATCGGTCCTACTCCAAGGTGCCAGTAGCAGTTTGGTGTTAATTGTGAGAGGAATTTGTTTAGGCTGCAGTGAGCAGCCTGGGGTCAGCCTTGACCTGGTGACCTGCCTATAAAGGCAGATGGTAATAATAATGCAATCATGGTGATGTTTTTAAGTGCAAATGAAGGACTTGGTAGGCAGTGACGTTTAGAAATCCCGTGGTGTTCATTGCATAAGCCATAGAAAATGCCGGGAAAGTAAATATGTGATACACATAAATGTGGAAAAATGGTAAAATTAAGATGGTGACATTAGGCGACTTTCTCCGGGGTGTTATTTATTAGCACCAGGCTATCCTCTTCTGCCAAGGGGCAAATAATACTCTGAACAGAGGCACAGGTAACAGGCGGCAACTTGTCTTGTCTTCTTGCAGCATTTCGTGCATTGATGAAAGGCAACCAGCTCAGCTTTAATAACAAAGGAATGTTAACTTATGCCTTACTGTCTGGTGGGGGGAGCTGTGGTTAGTAATTTTTGGTTATAATTTGGAGAGATGAGCCCAGGAGAGTAGGAGAGCATGGAAAGCCACACTCTGCTCTCAACCCCATCTCTCCATCCTGCCCAGCCAAACACTGTCAGTGGCCAGCGTGGAGCTGGAGGATGTCCTCACACCCCTTCTCGTTGGACTGCTGCAGTGTCCCAAAGCCTTGGCTGTGCCCTGGCCTGGAGGGGTGGGCTAAAGATTTTTTTTAAAAGACAAAAATAGTGGAAGCGTATTGGCAAGGGGGAGGCTTTTCTTCAGCAGTCCCTTTCCACTGTGCTTTTGCAGTGTGCAGACATGGAAATCCACCATTACAGCAGCTTCCCAGAGTATTAAAAAGCATTTAGAATGCTGTGTGTTAAGAAAAGCTGTTTTCAGATCATCAGCTCTCACAGAGTCAGACCTCCTTTTCCACTGCTGTGTTTTTCACCGTCTTAGCTTAATCTTCCTGTTCTATTAGCTTTATATTGGCCAGCTGGGAACATGTACAGTCGAGGAAACAGTCACCATCAACATAAAAAGGTTAATTAAAATGATTAACCTTACCAACAATTCCCTTATGGAAAAATCCTATAGAATTCAATAGAAAATGATACATTTACTATGTAGTATTTAAACTGTCAGAAAAAATTCTTTAGCAGGGAGGTAATTCCCTATTAAATTCTCTAACTTTTCAAAGTATTCTCCACAGAACATTATTGGATTAATCTATATTAAATTCTACAGCATTTGGCATAAATTTTTCAATACCAATAACTTCTAAAAAGAATTTTGTAGTGATACAGGGATGTGGGGTTTGACGTGAGGTTTTTCAGCAGCAGGGAGGGTGTTTTTTAGGAGCTACCTATAATAGTACAGCAGTGATGCTGCATGATTTCTAAATGCAAAAATAGGTAAAACAAAATTACATTAAATCAACATAACATGTAAATATTGCTGCTTTTCCAGTTATGTCCTAGGCTGAACTGATCCTGCCCATTGTGTAATCAGAAGTCTCTTTCTTACTGGAGCTGACAGGCAGAATTAGGGGAAGCGCACACTTTAATATGTTTTTTTTTCTTATTTGTGATAGAAGTGGAACTATGAAAATTCTATTAGGGCCAGCTGAGAGTTTTGCTTGATTCCTCTTTGTCTTTGCTCAGCTTGTCTCCTTGAGCACAGTATGTTTCTCCCTACGGAGGGTCGGGGAAGACAGAGAGAAGCAATTGTTATTTGGGAGTGTCATGTGGATATAAAAGCTATAAAATGTTCAAGGTTTTAGTATACTTTGCACTTTTAAAATGTAAATGTTGGGGAAGATATCAAAATTGCTATGCAAGTCCTTTGTGAAATGTCTGCATAATGCTGAACTCTTACATCTGCTGTTTGTATAGCATTTCTTGTGATAATTTTTCTTTGTCACTTAGCTCGTGATCTTTGTAGCAGCTGTGAGCTCCTAATGACTTTCCCTCTCAGGTTCTATGCTGTTATTTTTAAAGTCTGAAGTACAAAGTAATTTGGCACTTCCTCACATATCCTTAGGGGAAATTGGTTCTGTTTGATGCAATTTCTGGGATTCACAAAAGATTTGAATAAATATATTTTCTTCCACAACTTTGTAAACTCCAAATACTGATATTTTTTTTTTTTTTTTTTTTTTACAAAAAGGTGTCTCTACATGAAGAATATTTATGCTAGTGATAAAATGGGGGTTCACTTTTTCAGGAAGATTGTAGTTAAATTGATAACAAAAAAAGGTATCTTGGAGATGGAATCACACGAGTGATTCAGTTTATGAGGCAGTCTCTGAAGGAGACTAAGGATGGTCTGGCCAAAGGGAATGGCTGCTTCTCTCTAAAGTCAGAGAGAAGACCCTCTATTGCCCTGTTTCAGTAGCCCTGTACTCTGTCGTTGAACACAGTAAGGGGTGGGTTGAGAACTAAAAAAATCCATGGGAGTTAGGTATCTAACCTACAGCCTTAACTAGACAGAAATCTGCATTTCTGGCTTCATAAACACCTTGGCAAGCCTGGCTACTCTCTGCTTTGTAAATGTATATATACGTGGATACAACCTTTTATCATTTCCACTGTATTCTGGGCTGTTAATCAGCATCCAAGCAGTGATATTTAAGCACTCACTGTTATCTTCAGAGATCTATTTTATTTATATTTTACAAAAGGCATCTCTCTGCAGAGAACTAACAAAAGGTCAGTGCCAAATGTAAATGTCAGAAACCCCATTTTGAGAGGTTATGAGCAGATAAGTTGTCCAACAGTCAAAAGTCTTCTGTTGAAATGTTTTTTGTGCTTAGTTTCTTACACTGCACTGGCCACTCTTGCCCCTGAGGGAGCCTCTCTTCCCTCCCCAAGGGAGGTGCAGGAGATGCAGTGCAGGAGGTGGTGGACTGGTGGTCAGAGGGGACAGTCAGCCCTCAGGGTGCTCAAAGAGCGTCTGTCCCCAGGTCTGTGGAGAGATGAATAGCTGTGCACCAGGGGCAACTCTCAGGGCTCAGTGTGAGCAAACCGTGGTAAACAGGGCGATGCTGAAAGGCTTTGTGTTTAACCCAGCAGTTAAGGTACTGATACTTTAAACATTGTTTCTGTGAGCTGTTGCAGAAAGAAAAAAAGGCAAATCAATTTTTTTTTTTGGACTGATGCATTTTCCATTTGAATAATTTTTATGCCCAGGAAGTGCAGCGCTGTACGGCCGACATGAACATCACTGCAGAGCATTCCAACCACCCCGACAACAAGCACAAGAACAGATACATCAACATCCTGGCCTGTAAGTAACCACTGGCCTAAGCACGGTGAATCAACCCAAAAAGACACTGTCCTCTCACAGGGTGTCTGTGTGTGGCCTGGGACAGGCAGGTGGCTCCAGGTTACATCATTACACAGTCATTAATAAACATGAGAAAGTGTGGCTGGGAGGTCATTTCTCCTCTAAAGGCATTGGATGTTTTGACAACTTCTCTGGAGCCAGGATTTCACTCCGTCTTTAGTTTTGAAATGTTTTGCAGTTTCATGTGTAGTTTTAGAAGTAGCAGTTTCGTATGAAATGTTGTGGAGGAATAACTGGGATCAATTGCTGATCAGAGCTCTTCTGCCTGCTAATGCCTGAAAACTGGCCTAAGGGAAGTGCATGGTGGAGCAAAGAGTTTTACTGATGATTCCTGGGATTACCTTACAATCCCAAAGGTGCTAAATCTTGCAGAGTGTATCTGCTGTATTTCAAACTGCCTCAGCTGTGTGTAGGACTTGGACAAACAGTGATCTTTGTAGCACAGAGCAGGCTTTGCCTGTATCCCTCTGAGAACTGCAAATCTGGACTCTGCTCCAGAATGCAAATTATTGCATGTCTGGGATGGAAGTGCAGTAACTTTTTCCATGTTGTTCTCTAATGTTGCATGGATCACAGATGCAGCAGTCACTGTGGTTTAGGAACAGAAATGGAGAGCCACTGGTAGAAAGTTCACAATGTTCATAAACGTAGCAATAAATGGCACAGGAAGGAAATACATGTCTAAGAGATTCTCATAAGCAGTCAAGGTGCCAGCTGAGGATCAATTCCCAGACCTGTGAAAGGCTTTCTGTGTGGCCTTGGGCAAGGACATTCCTTGAGCTTGTCCCAGCTGTCATTTTAGACATGGATGCCTGGTCCCTCTAGGCACAGAGATGTGCCATTGGAGGAGAATTGGAGCAGGCACTCCAGTCCTCTAGATTGTCCTTGGAGGAAAGTCTTTCTGCTGGTCCTCAAGGAAGGGAACTGAAACCACAGCCTCCATGCTTAAAGTTGGCTCATGTGTCTCATCCCTGCATGAGTTGGCAGTACCACCCAGCCCAGTGCCTCTGCCTGGGAACAGAAGGACTGAGATTTCTTTCTGCTTTAAGACAAAGTCAAGTGATTGGGCAAAACAAAAAGAGGAGCTACAGATCATGACCTAAGTCTATCCTGGTGGTGTGATGATGGTGGTGAAGGAGTGAGGACATCCACTCATCTCCCAGAGACAGAAGAGCTGTCTGAGCCCAGCACTGAGGGAGGATGATGAGCCAAGCAGAGGCAGCTTTGCCTGCCAGAGCTGTGCTCGTGTCTCTGCACGGCATTACAGCTCTGTGGGGTGCCCTGGCTCTCTGACCACACTACTCTGTGTGATGTGGATCATCCTAGAGTTGTGCTCCTGAGGCTCCAATGTTCTTTAAAGAGAATCTGTTACAGCATGAACCATGTACTTGTAAGGATGTGAAGACTGATGACCAGCTATCATGAGCAGGTGACCAAGAACACATGCTCCCATCTCCCTCCTAACTCCAATCCAAGGCTGATCTCTTCTGTGTATTAGTAGGGGCTACCCCAATACCCAGGAAATGGGATGTTTGCCTGCAGTTCTGCCACATGTTTCCCTAATGCTTCTCTGCTCTGTTTTTTATCCTGCAGATGATCACAGCAGGGTGAAGTTAAGGCCTTTACCGGGGAAAGATTCTAAGCACAGTGACTACATTAATGCTAATTACGTCGATGTAAGTTGCTTTAATTGTTTTTATCTTCTCTACCATTGAGTCCTTCCACAAGGAGGAAGTATTGCCATTTGTGAAGTGATTGTGTTTTTCAGCTTCACCTGATAATTTTGCTATGAATTCCTCGCTATTCGGAATAAGAAAAGCACCTTCCTTTGTTACTTTTAAAATATTAATATGTCTGCCATGATATTGCTTTCATCTCACTTGGCATTATGGTTTTCTTTGAAGGGTTACAACAAAGCAAAAGCCTACATTGCTACCCAGGGACCTTTAAAGTCTACCTTTGAAGATTTCTGGAGGATGATTTGGGAACAAAATACTGGAATCATTGTCATGATCACAAACCTTGTTGAAAAAGGAAGAGTAAGAGATTTTCTACTTTGTTAGCAGTTGCTCCTTAACACCTCCCTGAATCACCTGGGCAGAATTTGTTTTTAAATGGCTTGGGTTGATGCATATTGATGCATAACACGTAACTAACATTACAGAGGGGTACATAGCTCGCCATTATTTTACTTTTTTTAAAAAGCTCTAAACACAAACGCAAAGCAGCAGCTCAAACCCTCAGCCAACCCACCCGACTGTGTCTTTGTTCAGAGGAAATGCGATCAGTACTGGCCGACAGAGAACAGCGAGGAGTACGGAAACATCATCGTCACGCTGAAGAGCACAAACGTCCACGCCTGCTACACCCTGCGCCGCTTCACCGTCAGGAACACGAAGATGAAAAAGGTGAGTTCTCATCCAGGTGCCTGCTGGCATCTGTGGGATGAAAGGCACACCGGAGCAAAACCCAGGGTTTTCTTAGGCAACTTGAAGGGGCGGGTGGGTGGGAAATAAGTAAGCAAAGCCAGGATTGCAAGGATCCTGGTGAAAGGTTCAGCCTGTATTTCTTTTTCTCTAGTTCACTGCTGCTTTGGTGTCACGGTTATTGCTGTTACTACCTGTTCCCACATGTATTTTTCCTTGAACTCTGTCTCCACCTAGCAGGAGGCAAAGCTGCAGAAGATTTCTTCTGTCAGAGTCCACCACTATCTCAGCTGAGCAAGCCAGAAGGGACTGATCATATTTCTGTGCTTCTTTTCCCTCATCTCCTCCTCCTCTCTGCACACACTTTGCACACAGGGTCAGAAAGGGAACCCCAAGGGGCGGCAGAATGAGAGAACGGTTATTCAGTATCACTACACGCAGTGGCCCGACATGGGTGTGCCCGAGTACGCGCTGCCCGTGCTCACCTTCGTCAGGAGATCCTCCGCAGCCAGGACCCCGGACATGGGACCAGTGGTGGTGCACTGCAGGTATGATGGCCGTGACTAAACACCTCAAGGCAAGCACACCTGGTGCACAGTGTGTGCTCTTTCATGCCAGCTAACGGCAACACCGTGAGTTACTAACACAGGAGGAGTGTGCCAGCCCTGTGGGGTGCAGGTACACGTGACCTTGCTTTGCCTGCATCTTAAGACAGCTCCAATGCAAAAGCTTCCCAGTTGGCACAGCGTTTTGCTAATGCCATGATACTGGGCTCCCAAATGTTGTACTGGTGTGGTTGTGAAGTTCCTTAGTTGAAGCTTGTTTGTATCCTGTCCGTTCAGGGCATGGACAGGACAGGATCACCTCTGCTGGGAGCCAACCATGTGAACACATGGACACCTGGGCATGCCACTGCCACTGAACCACACTCACACTCACCAGCACTTGCAGTCAGAACAATACATCAGTCAATAAATTAGTTCAGGGATGTGGTCTTCATCACTGTGTGTGAGGGGGCTGCACAGCACCACAGCGAAGGGGAGAGGATGATGGGGGTTACAGCTCCTTCCTGAGCAGAAATTGAGACTTTCTGAAGAGCTCCCCTCTCCGTTGGGCCCAGGACCACTCTCTTCCCTTGCAAAGGAGTCCTGCAAGCATCAGCCCCTTCTCATGCCTTCCCACAGTGCTGGTACCACTTGCATTTCCAGCTCCACTGGAATGCTCCTCACTCCTCACAGCCTGGAGTGACCTTGACAGTCCAGGATAGTAGCTTGGCAGAGGCTGGATCTCTATATGGCTTCTTCCAGCCAACTCCAGTAACAGCAGCAGTTGTTGACAGGAGCCAAGTGTGAACAGCCAGTGTGAAGTCCAGGACGATGGCAGCCTCATCCTGACGCTGCTGGCACAGGTGTGATGGCTTGTGTTGTGTTCATCCTCATCTTGCACCACAGAAATATCCACAGAAGGGAGGAAATATATACCTAGTAATATTCCCAGAAAACCAGATTATTTTGCTGAGAAACTTTAGTGGTTGAAGCTAGCAGGGAAATGAATGTCTGTGAACAGGAATATTGCTTAATTCTGTTCTGGTGTTACTTTTGCATTTGTTTTCATCTAACTGTATTACATGGGTTTCTCTTAATGTTTTCTGTAGTGCTGGTGTTGGCAGGACTGGTACCTACATTGTGATAGACAGTATGCTGCAACAAATAAAAGACAAAAGCACAGTTAATGTCCTGGGTTTCCTGAAACATATCAGGACACAGCGCAACTACCTCGTCCAGACAGAGGTAAAAATTGCAGCAGGGTTGAATTTAAAGTCATGCTCATTTTTATGTTGTAATCAAAAAGAAAATAGATTTTTCCAGTTACATCCCTGTAAAAATTTAATGCATTACTGGCATTTTTTTGCACTAGAATGCCTCTTTTTTAAACCAGAAACTTCAGATTTTGCTTTAGACTCATTCCTAGCTGTGCTGTTTATAAATGTTTATTCTAGGTTTGGCAGTATTTGCGTGGGTGGTTTGTTTTGCACACCCTTTCCTTTAGTGTGCTCTACTCCTTTAGTCAAAACCAGCTGTTTAGGTTATTCCAGGTGCCCGCCTGACATGCTGATATTTTTCTAGGAGCAGTACATTTTTATTCATGATGCCTTGTTGGAAGCCATCCTTGGGAAGGAGACTGAAGTGTCTGCAAACCAGCTGCATAGTTATGTTAACAGCATCCTCATACCTGGCATAGGAGGGAAGACACGACTAGAAAAACAGTTCAAGGTAAGGCTTATTGCTGCCATGCAGAGGGATCTAATTTACCTACTGTCTTTGGCATGGCCTGTCTTCACTGTCAGTTGTTATGGATGAGGAATCAAAACAGAACACTTGATTAGCACAACTTGAGAAGTTCAGTCCTCTACAGTCTTAGCTATGCTGCTGGAAATCAGTGCTAACACTCCTCAGTCAGAGATGAGAAGAGGGACATGGACACAAGTTTGGACTGTGCTGCTGGTCAACCTTTTCCCAAGGGGGCTTGGATGTTCCCAAGTCAGTGGTTATCCTGGCTGGAAGTCAGATTAGAATCTAATCAGGAGATTAGATTCTTTACACCACCTACTATTTCAGCACTGTAGATAAAGACTTAAAAATGTTATAAGACCAGGAAGCACAACATGGCTTTCTCATTGCCAATAACTACACTTGCTGCGTTTCCCTGCTATGTCATAGCTACTTTCTTCCAGGCCAAAGTAATTTTTTTTGCCCTGATCTCTTATTTGAAACGTAAGATTTTTTGATTGCATTTTATTTGAAAGCATTTTAAAGTATTTTGTGAGACTTATTATCATAAAGAGATTGTAAGTGACATCTGTTTTCACAGCTAAACTCACTCAGTTAATACCTACCCAACAACTACCTAAGGAACCAAAACTGTTAAAATACACCAAGTGCCAAGCTATTAAAAAAATGAACAGGCTCTTCTCTGAATTCACTTGTAGAAGTCTCAGTATTTCTCCATTAGTCAAGACATTCCAGATGCTTAATTACTAAATTAAAGAAGCACACACACACAAAATGCAGTAGGAGATTTCTTATTTCAAAAAAGAGTTGCACTTCTACAAATGATTCTAAATTATATGTATCAATTATATGTTTTCTGATGGCTTGTGACAAAGTTTCACAACCCTAAGTGCCATTTATAGAAATTGCTTTCTCTGCCAACATTGCACAGGTTTAGAAACCCCCATAACTTCTAAGGGGGCTTATGCCAGTGCATAGATGAGTTGAGTGCTGACCTGTTTAGAATGTATTTAAAACTGGGATGTGACCAGCAACAATTATTGTATCTTTCTCTTCTTTCTGCTGCTACCAGAGAGGTAGCAGAAGATAACTTGTGCTCATGCCATGGTACAGCAAGTTACATTCAACCATCTCAGAGTGAAATTACACTGAGTAACGAGTTGCTAAGGCAGGAGATGAGAAAGCCACCTTTACTTGCTTTGCTCTGGTAGAGTTTTCTCATGCACTGGGGGAATATTCAAATACAAATCTGCCTCCCTGACTTTTCTTTGTGCTTCCAAACATCCCAGAATGAACATGGCAGACCAGAGAATGTAGCCCATGGCCTCAGATCTCAGATGGCAGTGTGGTGGGTTCCCCAAAGGCCTGGCAGAAAAAGACATTCTGCAGGAATGATCTGGCTTTTATTTTAGAGGAGTGGGGAAAAAAAAAAAAGAAAAACAAACCATAAAAGTTCTGTTGTTCTGTTTTGTTAGCTTTTCTTCCTTGAGACCTGCTTCTGACTGAACATATCTGCAAGTCTTTGAAATATGTTCTCAAAGATAACGAAACTTAGTGTTCTGTGAAAATGCTTTTTGATGGAACTTCATTTTCAGGATGTTTCGAAGCTGAGAGCTGCAGAGATCTTTTTATCCATTAAACATGTTGTATGAAAAGAATTGTTTCCATTGGCATCTTGAGTACTTTAAATAAGTTTAACAATGCAGTTTATTCTTCTACTAATGCGTCTTCGCAGGAGTTGGCAAAGAAACCTCCTCTCTTCATTTAGTGTGCTCTGAGGACTGACTTACTACTTTATTCTCTTTCAGCTGGTTACACAGTGTAATGCAAAATACGTGGAATGCTTCAGTGCTCAGAAAGACTGCAACAAAGAGAAGAACAGGAACTCATCAGTCGTGCCGTGTAAGATCACATCTTCAGTTTGATTACTGCCTAGCATAACTTTTTGTACCGAATTCTCCTGGTGTTATGCATGAAAAGGCATAGCCAGTAGGAAGGGGAAATGTAATCTTTTGTTCAGTCCAAGCTGTCTTGTCTTTCGGTATTACCCTGATGAAACTGAACAAAAGGAGATAGTTGCAGTGTCAGCCAGATATACTGTCCAAGTGAAATGTTAATTTGAAGTGCTTAAGAATTTGAATAATTGGGTAGGGGATAAATCTATGGAATACTGAGAGATTACTTTGATACCGCTCCCAGCTCCGGTGAGATCTCCCAGAGTGATTGGCACAAGTTGTTTGTAATTCAGCTACTGCACTCAATTTCACTGTGTGAGCCACCCAGATTTGAGGGTATTTAGTGCCTGAGGACACTTTCACAGTCATTAATATGGAATCTGTGCGTGGCTGTCAAGCAGCATGAATTTGCACCAGACCAAGCACGGACACAACGTCAATGCCCATGACATTACCCAGAGTACAGGACAGAGGACAGATGATAGCCAAGCCAGCACAAAGGAACAGTGGCACAGACACAGTCCATCATGAAGTTTGTTAATAAAAGTGGAAGTCATCAGAATATATCTTAAAAACAGATGTGAATGGGGCAGAAATAATCTGTATGGCTTTGCCCTTTGGGTCATGCAGCTGCAATGATTCCAGCTGGGCTTTTGGGGCCTGTCACAGGGTTTGAGGATGATGTTGAACTCAGCCTTTAAACACACAGGAGTGTGGATTTGCTGAAGAGCACACACACGATGCTGGGTGGTTCCCCATTAGGGAAGGGGTTTGTCTCTGGAGGTTCTCTCACCCCGTGAATGATGGCAGTGCTGCCGGAAAACAAAATAAATCAGCTGGGTTTGTGTGCTGCTGGAGACAAATGGAACACTACAGTCAGGAATTACCTGAAATCCCCTGTTATCACTGCATATACTGTTATTTGGTAATTCAGCCTGCTGTGAAAATCTTTGCTATAGTAAAATTTGATTCCTGAAATTACTTTGTCCTTGTGGGAATATTGTGCAACATTCTCTTTTATATCCTGTGTTAGCAGGCAGTGCTTTAACGCAGTTAAAGTGCTGGCCTGCTCCTGCGGGAGATGGGAGCTGCACACTGTTTGGTTTGTTAACAGCTGAGAAATTCTTACTTTCTGCATTGTGCCATGACCAGACTTTGATCTTTATTCCTTTTTTTTTTTTCCCCTCTATGTTGTTTTTTTTTTTTATGTTATAGCTGAGCGTGCTAGAGTGGGCTTGGCACCGCTGCCTGGAATGAAGGGAACAGATTACATTAATGCCTCTTATATCATGGTGAGGAAGCCAACACCTAATTACAAAGTAAAATCAATTCTAAGGTGCTAAATACCAGATGCCTATAATTGTCTTAATTCTGTATGTAATGGCTGTGTATTAACAGATGAGATTTTAACACCTTCCCCATAATGTAAAGCTATTAACCGTGCTTTATTAAAGATTCTTGCCTAAAAAATTAATTACAAGATGCATTTAGATGAGATATGTATTTCTGTGAGATACAGTCAAATAAACGCTGGGATTTAGAGCAAATTAAGACAATAAGGACTCTGCAGAATGGAAATAGAGTTAAGTATAGCCTGTGTGAAAATACTAGGGAATACAACGAAATAGGGTCATTATGTGTCCCCCGAAGATGAAATTAATGCTTTAGAAGTATTGAAGGCAGTAAGTAACTGTGTGTTTGTTTTGCTTCAAAAGGGCTACTACAGGAGTAACGAGTTCATCATAACACAACATCCACTGCCACATACAACTAAAGATTTCTGGCGAATGATCTGGGATCACAATGCGCAGATCATTGTCATGCTGCCGGACAACCAGAGCCTGGTGAGTTGCCCGTGTCCCTCCCGACGTGGCACCACAGTCACAGCCCAGCTGGGCACTTGGGTACCTGCTGTGACTGTGTTCTGGTTGAAACCAAAGCCAGTTTTTGAGCCACCCTCTCAGACTTTGCCATAAGCTTGTTACAAAAAGGTAAGTTCCAAGGCGTGGGGGAAGGTTCTTTTGCCATCTCCTTCTGCACTCACCCCTGGGAAAGACATCCTGGGCTGGATGGACCACAGTGCTTGCAGGCAGCTGACAATCTATGTGATGCTCCTGAGGCAGGATGCAAGGCATTGAGGGCACTGAGAGGCTGGGGTTATGGGCACGGGCTTTGAGAGGAGCAGAAATGGAGGCAGGGACAGTAGATAATTGCTTGTTTGCCTGTGGGCTTAAGCCTCAGGCCATGCAAGATTATGGTTGTGGAAGGCTACAAATGCTATATTTAATGAAAGTAAAAAGCAAACACGTATGTTAATTTAAGTGGAAATAATGCATCAGAGAGAGTAAGGAGACACAGGTGAAGTGCTAATCACTACTTCCAGATTTACCAGCACGTCTCAAGAGGGCGTGTTGAAAAGGATTAAGAGCTAAACGGTTCGCTTTTTCATGCACGCATCACTGAGGTGAATAGACAATTGTAGCTGAAAGTGGAAGAGAAACCACCTTCATTACAGCAGGAAAATAGCAGTCATGAGGGGCTACTAAAGAGGCAGCAGTCAATATGTTGCTTGTGTGCAGGGCGATGAAAGGGATTGCAGGCACTGCGAGGCGAGGAGCGTTCAGAGAAATCCGATCGAATCGGAAAGCACTAATGAAATGAAAGTGTGTCAGGTGGAAATGAAGAGGCTGATCTTGTCTCCACAAGTACATGAAATAGCTCTGCAGAACAATAGTGATTAAAGGGTAAAGGCTGGGCTTGCCAACATCCCTGCTTTCACCTTCACCATTCCCAGAGTGGAGACCGGCCAGCAAGGCAGCAGCAGCCTAACACCAGCTCAGTGGTCAGTGCGGGATGTGTTGGCTGGCAAGGAGGGGTGGCACAGGACTGAAACAGGTGCTGAATTGTCTTGCCAAGGGACAACACAATAGTGCAAAGTACCTGCTGCATGAAGACCTGTCAGGTGGCAGGACAGGTCCCTTCCCTGGCACTCAGTGATATTACTCTGCTTCCCAGTGCCTCTGGGAATTGTCAGGGCACTCAGAGGACTTAGGACATAATGTCACATTTACAGAATAAACATCAACAGCTCAAATCTCAGCAGTACCTTGCATGTCATGTGCACCAAAGCTCTGGACCCACAGCAATACACCTGGTTTTAGAGGCGTGTGCGTGGCCACAGCGGGTTGACGTGGGTTCAGAGTTCATGCCTTTTCATGAGTGAAAGATGAGTTGTCCAGAGACACAGGCATGCTCTGAGCACGCAGCCAGAGCAGCTTCTGTGCTTACCCTGCAGGGACATAGACCTCTGAAGCCAGGAGGAGAAACAGACTTTGCATGTATGTGGTGACAGACCATAATTTCCTCTCTCTGCAGCAAATTAGGAATTCACAGTTATTTTTTAAAGAGCAGCTTTGACAGGATGTTACCTACATCCTGTCAGTCAGACTACTTCAGCACTGAGCTTCTTCCACCCTTCACAGTCTCGCTGAGATTTTACAGTGTCCCTTCAGTAGAGGTGTTTTGCTGGAGAACTTCCATTAAGTTAAGCCAATGTTTTTTTTCAAGGCTAAGAATATTTGTGTTTCTTCCTTCCTCTTCACTCCTCCACTCGCTCCTAAAAATTCAAGCCCTACATAAGTATCCATCAATCTTCTACCTAGACCTGATCCACAGAGCTTGAGTTTGGGATTAGACTGCAATAAACACAAATTAAAAATAATGTCATTAATTTTTAAAGGTCAATGAGTTTTTTCTAAACAAATATCTGACTTTCAGGGAAAACTGTAGGCAAGAGGCAGTAAAGCCTGGGATACAATATAAAGGTTAAGTATGAATGAGCTAAGATAACCATTTCCCTATGAAACCAATTAAAAAGTAGATGTTACCTTTTTGGACACACAAAGGGAGGATCTGGCAGGCTTCCTGCCTACTGTAACAGTAAATTTGTTTTAGACAGAAATGGTTTGTAAAGGTCAGCTCCTGATCATCTCTATTTATCAAACCAGTTTTTTGATCCACTGGATTTTTCAGTTGCACACAAGGTATCAAAGGCTGCAATAATGTGTTGTTTCATTTCTCCAGGCAGAAGATGAGTTTGTGTACTGGCCAAGTCGCGAGGAATCCATGAACTGTGAGGCCTTTACTGTGACCCTTATCAGCAAAGACAGACTGTGCCTCTCTAACGAAGAGCAAATTATCATCCATGACTTTATCCTTGAAGCTACCCAGGTAAAATAAACCTCCAAATGTGGGTCTTTGCTTTTCACCCAAATTACGTTGATGTCATTTAAATGAGGAAGGAGAATAGTTCAGAAACACTTTTGAGAAGGATTTACTTGTAAATGCGTGTGCATGCATCTTGTTCTCGGAGGAAAGGGATTCTCACTGAATCCTTCTCCCTCTTACATCCTTTACCTCCCTCCAGGCACATTCCTCTAGCTAGTAAGATTGTAGTATTAACTGTTTGTCTTTCTTTACAGTGAAGACACGTGATTTCAAAATGAGAAACCAAAATAGATTGAATTATTTTTTGTAAAGTACACCAAGGTGTATTGTCCTATTTCTGCTTATAAAATTCAGCATTTATAATTCGTCTGGGGGTCTTAACTAAACATAAAAATGTGAACACACTTCTTTTGAACTATAAACCTGCTTCTAGTTTGCTGTCTGGGTTGCAGCTGGACTTTGCTGCAAGCCTTTACTTTTCAAGCCCTTTTAAATTTTAATTCCTTAATTGCTCTTGTTTGACTTTTGAACTATAAGGGCTCTGAGAGAGGTTTGATATAAGCCCTGAACTCAGATACAAAATCTGTATCAATTAAACATTTTGTTAAATTTGCATTATTTTAGGGTGTTCACTGTTTCAGAAACGTTGGAGCTGTGTGTCTGTCCTCTTTCTATATAAACTGTTCGGAAGAAGAAAGTTTCTCTTCAGTTTGTAATGAGACTCTTCCCACTTTCTCCCTGGAGTGGATGAGTGAGGAGTGACAGAAGCTAATGCCCAGGCTGGTTTTTCATTGCAGGATGACTACGTTCTGGAAGTCCGCCACTTTCAGTGTCCCAAATGGCCAAACCCAGACGCTCCCATAAGCAGTACCTTTGAACTTATCAATGTAATCAAGGAAGAGGCCTTAACAAGGGATGGCCCCACCATAGTTCATGATGAGTATGTCATCACTTTTCTCTTCGTTTATGTGCAGATTGTACAGGATGTTACTCAGCTACAAGACACTTGTTAGGACTGATGTCCATTCCTACCAGGAGCAGATGAGGTTTAATGGTCTAGGGAACAGGATAAGAATATTTAAACTTCCAGAGATGAGTTTTCAGTTGGCACCTGAGGCCAAATGCATTTTTCTTAATACAGTTTTTATGTAGGTCATAATCTTAGATGGACTCAGGAAGTGAGGCTGTTTGCTTTGGAAGCATTTTGGGTTCTTCTGCACTTGGAAGTATCCCAAACAAATGCTACAGCCTGTTTCAGAACCCAGCAGAGCCCTGGTTTAGATAAGACTCTAAGCAGCCCAATATGGGCTTATGGTAACCAGTTGCAAAACAGCCTGAGCTCTTGTCTAACAGCTCAGGTTTAATGTGCCAGAACAAGCTCAGCTCAGCTGTGTCTCAGGATGAGCAGCAGGAGTACCTTGTGACAAAGGGCCCACGTTTTCTGAGAGAAGATTTATTTTTATTCTTTCTGCTTCCCCAAAAACACTCCAAGGGGCCCATATGGTGCCAAGTGGGAGGGAGGGAGCCTGCTAACATGGGGCCAACATGCCCCAACACTTGCCTCTTTTGTAGTGCAGTGGTGAGCATTGTCCTGCCAGCTACGCTTGAACACCCAATTATAAAGGGTACTAAATATTGCATTGCATATCATTACTTGCACACATTATGGAGCTGCAAAATACCATTATAGTGAGGCTGGAGGCTGGGTCTGACAGGGTCTCTTTGGAGGGACTGTTTCCTGGTGGGCAGAGCACTTCCTGGAGTCATTCTGTCCTTAAAATCCCAAGGAGGCCCAATTTCTGACACTGCTTGTGTTGTCCTTAGAGCAAACACTGAGTGCAAACACCTGCCATACCTGCAGCCCCTTTGCTCTACAGCCCCTCAGACTTTTTGTAATTGCCACAAAGCAGAATTAGTGGGAGGGTTTTGGGAATCTTTCCTTTGTTTGCAAAAACATGACTACCCCCCTCTGGTGTTTCAGTGGTCAGGCCAGCTGCTGTGCTGGGGTGTGGACACCACTGGTATCCACTGAGGCTGAAACAGCTTTCTCTGCTTTCCCTGCTGCAACAGGTTTTTCCCAACTGACTCTTGAAAATGGTGCCTTGGGCTGCAGCAAGTAGTTTTTCTCCCACAACCTCCTGCCTTGCTAATGTACAGTGTAAGCTCTGTTGCCTTTTGCCAGCACTGATTAATTCCAAGCTGGTTTTAATATTCATGCTTTGGGTAGTCTGAAGTGAGGTTTTGCTACTCTTGCAGTATTTAAGATTATGTTTTACAAAATTAGAACCATTATTGATTTGGGCATTTCATGCTAGATGAAAAAAAAAAAAGGAAAATCAAAATCGCATTCCTAACAGTGCTGAGTCATTCCTTCTGTAAATTGCTTTTTTCGTTTATTTGTCATATTCAATGATTTTATTTTTATGCCTAATACATAATGTGGATTCTGCTTTTCATTGGAGCCTAAGCAAATGTAGCTGAAAATGAAAATTTCCCTTTGCTACATGCAACAACTATATCACATAATCCACTAATAATTACAACTGCAGATTAATTCCAAATATATGAACTTGCAGATAACTAAATGCATGTGGTATTTAGGAAGTACATGGTGGAATGAACTTGATAACATTTTAAAAAGTTCAGAAATTCCAACTTGAGACAGTTGTCAAGATTTTTATATATAACTGCCCATGTGTAGGCAACTAGATAAAGATCTGCGGCACAATTTTCCACAGGAAAAGTCTTCAGATTGTTGGGAACTGGAGATAACCAGCCCAAGTGAAAATGAGGCCATTAGACCCTCAGAGACATTTAGTTGTGTCCCATCAGGCACATGCACTGGGTGTTTTGTCCACTGTCCCTGTAGACGATCTGTCACAGCCATCTGGATGGTGCTGCTGCTTCTATGGATTTCACCTCCAACACAGCAGATCTGTTGTTTCCCATTTCTAGGCACGCAGAATTTGCAAAAATCATAGGAAATTAAGTCAGTAGATGTCTTGATTTCCACAGGAATGCCGTTAAAAATCCCAGTAGTAATCTTGTGATGCATGATGGTATTGCAGCCCTTGCTCACTATTTCCATCTTCACGTACAGCTCTCCGAATGGTCCAGAGAGCAGGGCAGCACCAATGCCCTTTTACCAGTGGGGATATTTAGACTTTCTCAGAGCCACAGTGCAGACCCATAACAGAGCCAGGACAGAATTCCAGTCTCCTGAGTACTGGGAGAGCAGAGTGGAGGCTCCTCAGAAGCAGTTGTGTAGGATCCTTTATGCCGTGCCTCCCACCCGCACATACAGCTCAAGCACACCCCCAGGTTTATAGCACTGAGATTTCCACCTGACCTCTCAAGGACACATTGAGTTGTGCTCCTCACAAAATAACCACTGCTTGGGTTCTTATTACGTGACAGCACAGCTCAACTCTTCAGAATCCATAATGTCTCTTGGGTGCCTGGCTCAGGGATGTTGCCTCTTGCCGATGAATCAGACCTAAGGAAGACTTTTGAGATGTGCCCCATTTACTTGTGAGCACCTCACAGCCGTGTTATTTTGCTGTAATTGTCAGATGTGGAGGAAGAGGAAAAGTCTCATTTCTTTCTAATCGTTTGTGTTTTGCTTGAGCTCCCACTAATGAATTTAAAATACGCTCAACTGTAATGCAGATGCTCTCAGTGCACGTGGCGTGTGAGAACTGATTTCGGTGTTACAGTCTCCAGGCTGGATATTTTGAAATGGCTCACGTTCTACTGCTGTTATAGTTCTTTGTGTTGAGTAGTACAGATATCCTGAGGTGACTTGGTGTACCATCAAATTTCTCCTATAAATCAAGATGACTAAAAATTAGCCACTACAAAACAAGCATTTAATAGATACAAAGATGAACTACAGTAATCAGATAAGACTGTAACAACGTTTTCATGACCCTGTGTCGGTGCCCGGGTGTGTTTCTGAGTAACTCATCATTCTGGTGTGGTTTTCCAGGTATGGAGCTGTGTCAGCGGGAACGCTATGTGCCCTTACCACTCTGTCCCAGCAGCTGGAGAATGAAAATGCTGTCGATGTTTTCCAGGTGGCAAAGATGATCAATCTTATGCGGCCTGGAGTATTTACAGACATTGTAAGTCTTTAAATGGAATATAAATAGGTAGCTTACAAGGTTTTCATCTGAGACCAAAAGCATGCACTAAAACACACGTTGTGTATGTTACCAAGCCCTACAGCACCTGCTACCGAGCAGAATTTGCATTCGGGCTTTTTTGTGTAGTTCCCATTTTTTATAAACCTCAAACCCACACTATAAGTCTCTGATTTGCGGTTAAACTTATTTCTCATACGTTGGAGGGGGGCACCATAAGGCAGTCCTAGCAGAGAAGGACCTTTTGACTTGTCATCATCGCCCTGCCAGCCCTGTGAGCTAAACTGTGCTGTAAACCTGGCATGTTGTGGTCTGAAGGGATGCAGCAGAGCAGGTGGAGCTGCAGGGAGATAAGGCTCTTCACTGGGTGTCCAGCAAGAGCAACCCCCTTGGCTCAGTGTGTGTGGTACGAGGTTCTGCCGCCCAGGGAGTAACCTGGGGCTGAGCTGTGGCCTCAGGTAGCCCTCTTGCCCTCCTGTAGAGCTTAATAATACATCAGAAATCATATAATCTACCCAAAAATGGAATTTGGGTTGGCAAGGTTAAACTACATTAACAGAGATAATTGCTCTAAGTCTATTTCTTCAATCTGTGTATGCTTCTGGTAGTGAATATCCATGACCTTCCCTGGAAATGCCAAATTTAAGTGCCACTCGTTTATGTACACTTAAAGGATTGAAATAACTTGTTCTTTCTTTTCCAGGAACAGTACCAGTTTCTTTATAAGGCAATGCTAAGCTTGGTCAGCACTAAGGAAAATGGAAATGGTCCCATGACACTGGACAAAAATGGTGCTGTGATGGCCAGTGACGAATCTGATCCCGCAGAAAGCATGGAGTCTCTTGTCTAATTGGAAACCTGAAAAGGCACTTAATTTGTAGAACTTCTGAAGACTGAGTGAACTTTTTTGAGGCCTTTTTTGCCAGACTCTAGGTTATACAATAACCCAATTACTTTTTTACACTGATAAAAGTTTTGATATTTATTTTTTGCCATTTTATGTCTTAATGGTATCCTACTGAGCATTTGCACCTCTGTTTATTTCACACCGTGAAACGCAATTTTATCTAGTTTGCACTATATGATCAGTGTTACTGCCTATAATACTCTAATACAAGACAAGCCCTGATGTGACATTCCATGACAACAAACATACGCTTTTTGTCTGTTTTGTTTAAATGCAGTGAAGTTTTGCTAACTGCAGCAACCCTCGAATCCTAAATCTTGAATGCTAGGCCAGATGGATTCTTTCTACAACAGATACTGTACCCCTTCATACCATATTTATTATTTAATGGTCATGTCACAGTTTTGGTTACGGTGTTCTGCATTCCGTGGAGTGGATGAGCAGTGTTCATCCTTTCTTGACAAAACGTGGCAGGTGATTATTAGCTACAGTGAAGGTATAACAGCCTTGTGGAGCTGAAACAATTATTTCTGTATTGTTTCAAATTGCTGTTTTGTACACTTACAGGCCTGAGACTTGCTTCACACGGAATATGTAAGTTACATACAATATAATTATAAATTAGATGCAGTTCATATTTGGGACACAGTGATAGGTTTTCAATTTACATTTTCGAAGTTTCCCCATGTAATCAGAAAAATGTTGATTTTGGTTTATAACCAACCCTGTGATGGGAAAGTATTTTGGTTTTATTCTCATCAGGTCCAATACAGTGAGAAATCTTCTACAACCCAAAATCAGACCTGTTTTCAGATATATATCAAGGTAGCAATATTTTACATTACTAAGCTATTCAATATTTTAAACACATCTAATTTCCTTACTATTTCTTGAATATGACCTCACACCTAATGGTATGTTACGTGATGACAGGCGTTTCTTAATTTCATAACTGTTAGATGCCATTTTTACAGGTGTGTAATTTTCATACTTTAGTGCTAAAACATAAAGTACTGATCCATATTTACTGGTGAAGCAAACTAATAAAAAAACTACCTATAAAGTTACATTCTCCCTCTTTTTTTTTGCCAGACTAATTCTTTAGCACAAACCTAGCTTATTGTGTTTTCCCTCCCACACCAGTGAAATGGTTTTCCCCAGATTATATAAATAATTGAATTATTGTTTGGAGCATTTAAGTATACAGCCTCACTGGCTCCCTCTTCCTTTATATTTTGGTCATAATTCAACAAGGTCCATCCCTGTTTTATAAAAGAAGTAAGCACATGCTTAATTCTCCTTAAAATTAAAGTTAATCATGTCCTTCATAGCTCAGCTGACTAGGGAGGAGGGGTTATTGAATCTGCCTGGAAAAGGAAATAATGTGATTTCAGCCATCCTGATGTTTGGTGGGCAGTTAAAGGCACTATCCCTTATATATGGCATTATTTTCTTTACTTCTGAATTTCAACTGCACAAAACATGCATTGTAATTTTTCAGGACTTGTCAAAATGTTACAACCTATTTTTTTCATTTAATACAGCCTATCTTTTTTCACTTAAATGTAAACCCATTAATTTCTGCCAGTCCAGTCTTGCTGAAATACAGACATTTGGCAGGGTTCTGTGTATTTTCCCTCACAAGGAAGCTGAAAGCAAACTGCTTAAAAGGATATTGAGAGTAGGTATTTTGGTTCAGGACCTCTCACGATGCAAACTGATATGACCTCGCTGACAGCAGATGAGCTATGCAAACTGGTATGTGCTAAAATCTGGCCTTTTATCTTCAATGAGAGAAAGATTTCCTGATTAATTCAACACCAAAGTATTCAAGAATTCGTCATCAACCTTTTACACAGTCACCTTTCACTTCTCCGTTTGTTGAATACCTCTCCATACAAATGATCCCAATAACTGTTTAAGCTGAACAGGATAATAAGCCCGTGGTTTCAGTAGGGAAATCTCATGTCCAGCAACAGCTAGTCCAAATAGAAAATGTACAGAATGTTTCAAAAGATTGTAGGTTGCATCCCCTTTGCTCTGGGATGATAGCCTGGCACGGGGGAGGGAGTCATTTAATGTCTGGTAGGAGTTAGGACTGTCTCTCCAGTCGCTACACCCCAGTAACAGAATTGTTTAAGTAAGTTTTCAAGTGCTGCTACCTGCAAGGGTTGGAAGATTTTGCTGAGTGGTCTGTTGGCCAGTGGGCATCAGCATTAGAGGCTGGGAAGTCCCCCTGCACCCCCAGTATTCAACCTGGCCCCAGGCAATTCCAGGTGGTAGCACAAAGGGACTAACCAGTTGACTCAGTTCAATCTGAAGTATTTAAGTTCCTGGGGAGGTGTAGGGAGAAGTTAAGAATTCAAACCCTGACAAGAGCTAAGTGACACGAAGATTACTGCAGGCATCAAGAGGGTTGGATTTGTTCAGTACTTTCAGCTGATTACTTTTCATTTCACTGGCATGATGGAAGATAACTGTGGTTCGTGACACACTGTCTGAATACCCTTGGTTTAATCCCTTACCTTCTCACAAGTTTTAAACATCAATGAATGAAGGCTGCGGGGGTTGAACTTTGGTAGATGCTTTGGAAATCCATGCATTTGCATTGGCATTTTTTGACATCTGAAATACTTTTACCTGGGATTTAATCCATGGGGAAATAATGTACACTGGTGTTCTATGAGTTCTCCATAGATTTTTTTTTTTGTAAGGAGGCTTGAGCTGTGTGTTAAGTGCTGTGCTCACAGTCAGGTAGCCAATAGATGGTAGTGATGCATGAGGCTTGAAGTGGGTGAAGCTAGAAATTGCCTGTGAAGGTCAGGATTAAGTGCACCAAGAGCCAAGCCTACCCTACTGTAAGCAGCTGCAGCTCTGCTCTCTTACATGGATTTGCACCTCTCCCTGGACTGAGTGGCAGCAGGAGCGAGTGTCTGCTCAGAGATGGGCACTCACAAGCTCTGCTGATGCTCCCACAAGTGTCTGGCCAAAGTCCTGCTCTGTGCATCCCAACCTTGCTTTTGGGACATCAACCCCCCCACACTGTACCCTCACCTTGGCATTCGGTCGGGATATCTTTCAAGCCATGTCCGTCAATCAGAGGTTCCCAGGCAATGTGCAGGTTTGCAAATTAAGGGAGCCTGAGTATATCCCTATGGTCCTCAGCACCAGCCCTGAGAACTGTGGAGGGACTGAAGCACACGAGTGCATGTGTGTCTGCATTTAGAAAATACCATTTCTCCGTGTCTTGCACATGTGCTGCGCCCGCAGACCGTGAGAGACACAGACGGTGCTGAGTCCGTGAGAGCAGCCAAGCTTTCCAAGAGGGAATGCTTGGAAAGCTGCTGTACCACCTTAGCCTCTAAAATGGGTGACAGTCTCAGCTGAATGCCCCATCCTACAAACACTCCTGTATGTGAGCTTGGTGTCAGTAGGAAGGTCTGGGAGAGCCAGTGGGACTGCTCAGCTGTGCAGGCTAAGCACTGATCCTTCTGCGGGACCAAGGTCTAAAGAACATTCATTTTAAACAGCATTTGTCCCTAGTATTTCAGTGTCTGTTTCCAAACACTAATTTAACAACAGGAAAAAAAAATCCAAACCCCTTGAACTATTTCTTGTGAGTGACTGTTTCTGTACTGTGGGTCTGTTCTAGGTCAGCAGAGTCATTTCAGTTGTTTTTCTGGTTTCTGACTGCTCAAATTGTTTGAACCCAGAGTGATACACTGGGACATTAGGAGAAGAATCTTTATGACACAGCACAACTGCCTTCTCATTAATCTTTCCTTTAAGATGATATATTTTATTTAAAAGCTAAAAAATATAGATATCAATTCTACCAAAGATACATACTACTAATTCTCAGCAGAACAAAACCAACTTAATTTTAAGAAAAAAATTAAATGTAGTTGTCTTAAGGATTTAGCAGTCTTTCTCAAATTCATGTCTTCTGACATCAGATCTTGTGTTCTGAAGTTTATATTCAAATGGTGCCAGTGAATTTTTATATGAAGGGAAAATGCCTATTTGTTAATCCACTGCATTGCTTTTCTTCTTTTTCTTTTTCTCTTTTAGTTTTTTTTCAGACGTAATTCACTGTTACCCCTTTGCTCTTCTTCTCTTTGTTGCCATTCTAACAATGTGAACTACATTGGCTTTACTTATTAAAGGAGAAGGAATGCAAAAATAAAGAAAAAGAGGAACTGTAATGAAGAGATTTGGCCTCTACTTTGTCTTAGCTGTTAAACTGTTTTTAGTGTTTTTGTTAACTATTTGCAAAGGGAAGCATTTTCTACAGAGGATAATTAATTTCAAGAAAAATGTCTTGAGTTTTAAGAATAAACGTCTCCAAAAGAGGAGATAGTCAATTTTATACAATGTCACAACTCTCCAACATTTGGGGTAGTGACTTTTTTTGTTTTGTTAGAACACTTGAGACTAGCAAGCAGCCATTGTTTCTAGAGACCGAAGCATTCATGTGTACTCCTATTTTCTTTTCCTTCATTTTTAAAATAGCAAAGTCGTTAAAACTGTAAATATTTTGTTGCTTGGATAAGCATCTTCTGGGAACTTTGTATCTATGGTATATAATCATAGAATTTTATATTTTCATATAAAGCTAATTTTTTTCTAGTTTCACCTCCTTCCTAGTTCTGTGGTGGCTATGTGAATACAAACCTTCTGTGTATCGAGGTAGTGAGACACAATCATCACACTCCAAAAAAGATTTCCACACATGTCATTTCTTTGGGGCAGTGATTGTGAAAGTTGGATATTTTTTTGGATTCCATTGTCAGTGCGTGCAATAGGAATTAGACTTAGCCAGTCACTGGATACGTTTGTCTCATTGATCCATTCAGAAAAAAAAAATAAAAATGTGGTGTTTGGTTTGGGGAGAGGGTGGGAGGGAGCATTTTGAGGGAGATTTTTTGTTCGTTTTTGTTTTTTGTTTGGGGGTTTTTTGTAACTTGAAGAATCTTCTTTTTGTTATGTTAAACTATATCAAATCATTCTATTATAGTGTTATTTAATATGTAAATTGTATTGCTATACATAAAATAAAGTATGGTTTTTGATGTATTTACAGACTTCTTCCTTATTTGCATCGGGTACACACACAGAACAGATGCAGGAGTCAGTATTTCATTGTCCCAGGCGTGCAGGAAGAATGATGAGATCCAAGGCCTGCTTTAATTAGATCTCAAATTTCCAAGCAGTACTCATCTGGGAACAGTCTCTTGGTGACAGTGGAAATCACTGTTCCTTTCTTAATTGCCTCCAACTATTAGAGAGATTCCAGTAACCCCTTCCCTCTCCACCACGGCTCCTCCCTAGACGGTTGTGACCCATCCACATCCCTTTTGGAAGGAGGACTGTCTCCATTCTGAACGGGACCTCAGAGCCTGAGCTTTCTTGCCAGCTCCTTTGGCGTGCCCTTCCTTAGCTCTAACCCTGCCTGGAGGAACAGGGGCTTCCACCAAGCCACCATTGCCTGATTTACTGTGATAACTCACAGCTCAACTAACCCCAGTGCTGTGGTAGGAAAAGCAAAAGTACTCATTCCCGTGTCAGGCAGACTGGGAAGGGGGGACAGATGTTTCAAATCCTAGAGAGGAAGCAGCAAATATTCCCCATGGAGTGCATTAGCAGTCACACCTCCCTGCTGCTCTAGCCAGGAGCTGTCACTGAAGCGCACACGACGCCATCGACGCTCCGTGTTCTGCAACAAAACCTCAGCAGTTCCACACGCCACGTCCTGTGCTGGTTCTGCGCTCAGTGCTGCGTTACCTGTCCTGTCATTCCTGTGGGAAAACCACTCGGGTTTGTGGACAGGTTCTCGTTGCAGTCTGCTGCTGGCACGGCGGCTGCCCAGGCTGGCAGAGCCCTCAGAAGCCCAGCAGCACGCAGCCTCCGGAGCACCACCTGCACATGGACAAACAGCATCCATAACTGGAATGGCTTGTTGATGTAAAATTGCTGGTTAAAATCAACACATGACATCTGCTGCTTTTTGTGTTGCTGCATTCTCACCTGTAAGTTCCCGCAGGTCCCGCTGCCTCATGAATGAGTGGCAGGGAGCTGCTTCCCAGCCTGCCGGACCTGCTCTGGGAGATGCTCCAGCAGCCAGCAGAGCCCAGTGCCCTCTGTACATCTTCCAGACCAGGAGTAGACACCAGGGAAGGCTCCTCTGCCCAGCTTAGCTGCTCCCCCTCCATGGAGAAGAAGCAGCCCCTGCATGCACAGGTAGGTGGGTACATTGTCCTTCATAACAACAATATGGGGAAAAAGCTGCTTAAATCCCACTTGTCCTGGAAGCTCCTGAAGGATGGAGCTGATGGCAAGCTGAACACGAGCCAACCCCACAAGATGGACTGGTAGGTCCAAACCTGCAGGTCTGGCAGGTCTACCCTGGAACCAGGTAAGGACACCTCCCAGCCTACTCACAGCAGGGCTAAAACTGTCTCTTTTGGGGAGGGAGGACCACACAGGGAAAAAAGTAACCCCGCTGAAAACAGGCAAAAGGAGAGCATCAGGAATGGTTAGTGAGCTGGAAATCCTCTGAGCAAAGATGGGATGAACTTGGACATTGTCTAGTGAAATGCTGGAGAGAGAGGGCCTGGAAGAGTCAGAAGCAGAGGAGAGGCTGTGGGTTTTATCTCCTGATACTTAAATCACCAGTCCTGAAGGAAGGGCGTAATTCTCTTCCTACATTTGACAAAAAAGAGAGCTTGAACAGCCGCAAGGAAGGTAGGGGTCAGGCAGTGGGAACATGACCTGGGGCAGTGATGGAACAAGAAAAAATATCTCTTTGGCAGCCATAGGAATCAAGACACCCCAAGGCAGCCTTCATGAAAAACGGCATTTTTGCTAGACAGCAGCAGCTCTGAGGTGAGCCCCCTCCTGCTGCCAGCCAGGTCATCATGTGCACAGACCACAAACGGGGCAGAGCTCCCTGCAGGATGCAGGGCAGATGTTCCCTAACACACCCTCGTCCTGACCTGAGATCAGCAGCAGCTCCCAACACTGCAGAGGTCATGCAGCATTTGTTCCAGGAGGCCCTGGTCCCCAGGAGCTGCTTTGGTGAACAACAGAGGCAGGAGTGGAGGACAAGAAAAAAGGGAAAGCCTTAGAGAAAGTACTTGGATTCCATGTTTGGAAATGCATGGGGAAGAGGCCTGGCTGAGACTTGTACAGAGTGGAAAGATGTAGTAAGTGATACTTTGGCAACTGAGATATGATTTACCAGCACTTCCCACTTCTAACAATATGCCTGAATTAATTGGTGGTATCAGGAGATCCCAACTTCTTCTGTAATAAAGAGCTAACGAGTTTAGCCTTTAAGGCTTCCAGAGGCTGCTAGCAGTCATGCTAAGCAGGCACAAATAATAGCAACATTTTTACTAAATGTATTCAAATGCCAGAAGGTGTATTTTCAAGACCATTTACAACACAAAAATAATTCTGATCAATGGTTTGGTCCCAGTCCTATTACTTAGCCACTTTAAGCTCCACAAAGTGCTTCCTGCACTGACGTGTCACCCCCTCCTGCTGGCAGCTGCCTTATTGATCACTGGTGATTTCTGTTTCCCCTTTGCTGCCAATCAATGTTTCTGATGTCTTTCCGACTTTGTAATGCTTTAAGAAGCAACACTTCACAAAGCAATCTTTCCTGACACTGTGTTCAATTAATCTGACAGTCACTGGGCTCGCTTTTCTTTTCTAAACTTGTTATCTTCCTTATGTCTTGAAATCCTTGTTTAGGACTTGACGTCTGCTTCACTGGTGCTTTATGTTATGGTTTTGAATGTTGAAAAGATTCTGCATTTCAGTTCCATGTCTCTTAGGGGAGCCGTTTCCAGTATTTCATATTTCCCTGCCTGTGTCCATGAGCCATGCTTTCTGCATAGCTCGTCGTTTCTGTCACTCCCAAATTCAAACTCTGTTGGTCCTATGTCCCAATACTTTGTTCCTTTTGTCCAAAAAGCTGCTCAAAGAGTTTCTGGGTCAACATCAGAAGAAAGGCAGAAGGTATGTGTCTTTTGTCTTGGAAGGATGGTATTATTGGCTGGAAGCCTGAGGCTTGATAGAAAGGAATGTGGCACAACCCTCCACCAGCTGTTTTGCTGGTTTTTTATGTTCTAAAATGATGCCCCATCTGCAAGATGAGGGCCAGCAGGCTCTGACTGCACAGGATGCTGTGTAAAGTAGATGTTTTTCTACATTGTTTAGGGTCTGTGGGTCGGTCCAGCTTCCTCTGGGTCCATCAGGGCATGGTGCCTGCAGGAGTGAGCCGAGCACTCAATTTTTCATACACGTGAAACCAGCCTAGGATGGGTTTGAGATGGCTGAAGATTACTTTTGGTACTGCTCCATTAACTGCACTGCTGCCAAGGTCATAGGTACCATCTGTGTACAGAAGGAAACAGGCAGATTTGTGAGCTGGTGTCACATGAGCCTTCACAAGCCAGACCTGGGGGAACGAGACACTGAGGCAACAGAGGGAACCTCCAAATAAAGGCCAGATACTGAAGAAATCTAGTACAGACTCTTTAAAAATATTTTCCCATCCTAATAGAGAACCAGTGGCTTCTCAGCCATGCATCACACAGACCCCCAGTCCCCTCTGACACCAAGTTCCTCAGGTCAGCCCCAGAGCTCTGAGATGCCCCAGGCCCCTTCCTTCTGTGAGAGGGGAAGGCTGTGATCCCTTTCAGCTCCTTGCTGAGAAGGAAAAGCCAGGGGAGAGCTGATGAGGTTGATTGCAGAATACAATGAGATCTTTAGTGTTCTCTCAGCCAGTGCATGGGAGGGAAATTATGATCTCTTAAGCAAAGCCTGGCTGTTTCTGCTCTGCTAGGGGGTTCCTACGTGGTGCACACATAGGATGGAATGGGAGTGTCTTGCATGTACGAGATAAATGAGCATTTTTGTGTAACAAGGTACTTATCAGGTTTCATCAGCAGACAATCAAGAAGAATAGAAAACCACAGAAAAACAATAAATCGAGGCCTTGATTGCATGCAGGCTGATGGAACCATTAGCACCACTCTCCAGGTGATGCTTCACTCTCTAGGAAGTTTTCCTAACAGGCTCAAATCATTATCTTCAGTGTTATTGGCTCAGTGTCAGAACTGTTGGACAAACCCTGAGTCCAATCATCAGATGAACATTCTGATTTTAAACAGTAGTTTTAATTTAAAATATCTTTTAATGTCATTTAAATCAAATATTATTTCATTCATGAAGCTGAATACACTGTGACTAAAACAAGCTGTTGGCTTCTAGCTGTAATACAGGTAGCTGTATAAAAATAGATGACCATGGAATAAAAGGTGACACTTTATTTATCTAGGTATAGAAAGGTTATCACACTTTGCAACTAGCAAGCAATGTCCTTAGTGTTGCTTAATACTAGACTTCAAGCTGAAAAACATCGTTACTGGAGTGGGGTGGAATCATAAAAACTCTTAAAGGTTCAGTACCTTAGGTTATGAAAGGCTCTGCCTTCTGAATTTTAGTGCCTTAAATAAGCTTCCTTATAACTTAAATCCAATTTTCTAGATAGCCTCTTACTTTGAGCCTGTTAGACATATGTTATGCCTTTGCCTGAAAGTCTCCTAGTGACCTGTAAATTGATTGCAGCCTGTGAAATTGGCCATAAGTAAATCTTTGCTCTTTTTTTTTTTTCCTATTTTCTTCTTTTCTGAAATAAAAAGGATGCAGGTGGCTTGTTACTCTCAGGCTATAGATCCTGTATGCACTTCAGAAACACTATTGACCTCCAAGCAGTGTGTGTTAGGAAGAATAACTGATTCCAGATAGCTTGGTTAGATAAGCAGAGCCCTGCTAAAACACAGTTTTCTCTATTTGCCAAAATTCCCCCCCCCCAAATTCCCCATCTTGAGTCATGGGTGCCTGATCAGCCAGGGATCATCACCTTCCACTCAGGATCAATGACTGGTCTCTGATTCATCAGCTTTAATAGTTTCTGAAACACCTTGATGTGCTGGTATCCACAGGAACTGGGAAGATTAGTATGTAAATGCCAGAAAAGATATTATGTTGGAGTTTGTCACATAAAAG